CGTCAACGGAACCTGTTACACGGCCGACCCGCGGACCAGACGCTCGCCCAGGGCACGAGGAGGAGAACGGACGATAAGGAAAAGGACCGCGACGGACGAGAGGGAGAGGATCAGCAGAGCGAGTCAGGCGCAAACGAGGAAAAGAGATGCACGCGAGTAGTGAGTTTACGACAGAGGGAGAAGAACTGGTTGTCGGAATAAAGAGAAGGATTGGGGAGTGATGCTTAAGGAAAGCGAGCGAATGTGCAGGGGCAGCCGTTGGTTTCCCGTGGCTTTCTTCGAGTCAATTGAGACCTTCGCTGCCTTTTATAAGAGTTTCAATGAGGAGGGACAGTAACAGTATAAATGTGACGTGTGGAATCGATTGGAAGGTGAAGGGTATTGGGAATAGTCATATCAGAAAGGAGGAAGTATAATGGTTGAATCGCCTTCATATTGCTTATTTAGGGAAATAAGTCTTTGAGTTCTCCGTTTATTGTATTTGATTTGACCTAACCAAACGAATGAAATGAAGGTTTAATAAAAAATCATGTTTAAGGAAATAAAATTGTTGGTAAAATAGGTTGAAAACGTTTTATGGTTAAATGCAAAATTTAATATACTCAAGGGCATTATGATAAAAGAGAAAATCAGATTCTCTATCCACTGCTCATCGACTCCTTGGTTATATTTAATTTACGTAAGTGGGAAGTAAAAATTAACCAGATTTGTTTATAAGAACTTGATAATTGATTCCTGATTATAAGTTCAAGACGCAATCAAAAACGTTTGAAACTTGGTACTGACACATATATACAAATTAAATGTGAAATATAAAATAAGGTAAATAAAATTGAAATTGCAATATTTGAATTTACACAAAAATAAATTAAGATTAACAGATATGTCGATGGCAAAATGTGCAGCTTGATAAGATGAACTGCTCAATTACTTCTGCCTCTATCAAACTTTATATTCGCGGAAAAACTTCCCAGTCGCCCTTGTATTGAATACTGACATGAATCTGCCGTGTGTGATTGAGATAAATATGCTTAAGGGTCAGTGCCATTGTAATGCAGCCCAAAATAGACTCTAAGAAAATTAATCGCGTCAGGACTGAAAAAAAATCAAAATGAAGTTATTATAAAGAAAACTCAAATAGTCAAAAAATTAAAGAATACTAATTCACGAACCTAAGAGTAATGAAGAAGACAGAAGATACTTTTTTCTGATTTCATTTTTATGACAGAGGGAATTAAATGAATTATGTTTGTAATTAATAATACAATAATGTAGAAATTCATTAGAGTATATTTTGTCATTGCCCCACTGAGGCCTGTGCGTAGGATTTTTGCAAAGTAAATGATACGTATGAACATGTCCGATAAGAATAGCACAAATATTTTAAAAATAAAAATACAAAGTCGTCCAAACCCTTGTAAAAGATATCAGTCTCGTTTTTTGTTCAATGGTAAGAATATCCCAAAATAGTCTCAATAACAAAAGACTGGGTGCCTGCAACATGAGAGATAAGAACCTTGCATGGACAGAGAAGACAAGATACGGTCAAGGGCGGAAAGCTTTCAGCGTACAGCAATCATCTTCCTCAGCTCAAACTTTTCGTATTGCATCTTAATCTAATATATGTACTGCAATGAAACAAAAGGTTTGACGTCAGTTTTCATTCTAGTTATTAAACACATTAGGCCGCCAAATATCAAATAATGGCCCGTTGAAATTTGTAAATCAAGGTGGTAGAGGAGATGTATAACCAACCGTGTAACGTTGGTAAACGTAAAGGTGTAACGTTACTTGTATTAGTGGATTTGTGATGTTTAATACATTTCGTAACACATGTTCTTAGAAGAAAAAAGATATAAACGAGAAATCCAATTTCTTACCCTAAGAGTACTCCTACATCATCGTTAGTTATAACTGTTTCGTCTGACGGGGAACTGTTAAATCCTCAAGGGGTTTCGGCCGATAAGAGTCACTTTTTGTGCCTATAGTTCCTTGAAACCCAGGTATTAACAATATAGTATTACGAAACGTCAATTATGTAACGTACTTAGCATCAAATCTCTCTACTAAAATAAATCAGAAACATAAGTATAACACAAAAAATGCATACCCATCAACAGAGTGATCCAAATACTGATCCACTCTCCAACGAAAAAGAAAGTGAAAGCGGGTGGCCATACGAAACCCTGAACAAAAACCAGAGAGATGTCGATCCACCCAACCAGAGATCGAACAAAGAGAATGACTTAAGGTGGATTTGTTGTGCCTATGGTTCCTTGAAACCCAGGTATTAACAATACAGTATTACGAAACGTCAATTATGTAACGTAATTAGCATGAAATCCGGGAGAATCTCTGTATTAGTAAAAAATCAGAAGCAATAAGCATAAAACACAAAAAATGGCATACCCATAACACTGCTGAGCCAAATACTGATCCACTCTCCAACGAAAAAAAAACGTGGGAAGCGGGTGGCCATACAGAAACCCTGAACAAACCTAGAAGGAGATGTCCGATCCACCCAACGGCAGGAGTATCGAAGGGAGGGAGGGAGGCTCGATGGTAGACCAAGAGCAAGAAATCCCCTTCGCGGAACGGGAAAGAGGGGGCGGTGGCGCCAGAGCGCGGGCTGCACGCCTCCAGCCTTTTGTTTATGAGCCGCAGTATCGCCGAAATGACGCCCCGTTTCTCCCGGCGGCGGCGGCGGCGCCGCAACGCACCCGCTTCATCATTGCGAATTGCAGCCGCTGCGCAATTGAGAACGCGATTACGGCCCCACACACACACCTCGCGCGCCACACATGGCGCCGCACTGGGGCGCAGACGGCAAGAAAGCGAGTCACAAAGAGGAGGAATGGTGGTAGTTGTTTTGTTATTGTAACCACAACTGCGATACATTCTCATTGTAAATTAAACCGATTCGATTGATTGATTAGGGTTTTGGGGTGCGTCGACTGCAGCGGCGGTGGTGTAACGGTTACCTTCATCTGCGATATAAAAGTACATTGTTTTATTATTTATAGTTAATCACAATGGTTTCATTGATTTAATGACTCATATTTGCTTCCGGGTTCGAACATCATTAGTGCCCGTAGTGTAGTGATCGTTTTTCTGGCGAGTAGTGTCGAACGAGATATCTAGGTTCTAACGAAAATATACACGACTTGCCGAGTTTTCACTACACAGGTATATGAGACAGCAAGATACCCGAGACGCTCCCGAATGGTCTCTCGACATGACGCATTGTATGGTAATGTAGCATGTGTAAGTGTATGTGGGTGTGTATGTGAGGTGAGGGAAAGGAGAAGGAAAGATCACGCGTTGTCTGTAACCGGTTTGTTTAGGAGACTGCTTCGGTAACCGCATGGAATAGATCGCCGATCAGAGCAGCCGGTTGCAAGAATTTTCCTTGAAACAACGGCTGATCTCGAACTAGCTAGTTGAAAAATTCTCTCTCCGTCGGGGCTCGAACCCTTGGGCCACCCGGTGAAATGCACTGCTGTGACATCAGTTTTCACCCTTGGGCATCTATCCCGATACGATCACAATGGAATTATAGCGATCAAGTGCAAGGCATGAAGCAAATCATTCAGGCGAGCACGGAAATACCATATACTTAAAATTGTTCATTAAAAGAAATGTGTTAATGTGTGTTACTTAGTAAACAAAACTATTATTTTTTGAACTCTTTTAGAAATATTTCGTTCCTTGAATTCGAAACAAGGAAAACGAATTAATATTAATAGTTAATCAAACTACAAAACTCCATCTTGATTCCGTTAATATATCACTAATCTTTTTAGCTTTCGATTCTCTATCAAGATAGCCATCGTACATACTTTCTTACATATACGAATAATTCTAGACTAATAGTATTGAAGGCGATTCTTCTTCTTTAATTGCAATATAAATTTACCAAGTTTATTTATTTAATTCGCTTTGCTCGCATTCCTGCTACATAGGCATATAATTTAAATTAAATCGAAAATACACCTCCTGATTTTCACCCTTTCAGTTTGGACGATCTAATTAACTCATGTTATGAACATTACTAAATCATATTCATATCACAAATTAAACTCTCATTCAAGATGTCCATCATTCTAAGTTTAATAACGTCCAAAAGATAAGTCGAGGTGATCTCAATTTGTCGATTACGGCTTGGGAACATAACTTGATATCCTTAAAGCTAACAAACATTTGTAAGGGCCCAGATCTGATCATTTAATAATTATGCACGATATGTCTGTCAGGAAACAGGCGTTGAGGTCTGCATTCAACAACAAACCCAAACTCAAATATTTAAAATATATTTCTTACGAAAAGAGGGTTGTAAAGCAAACGTATACTCGAATGTTCCTACACATTTCTATCTGCTTAAGAATAATATGCCATTTAGGTAAGTTAGTCCCATCAAGAAAATGTACGCAAATATTAGTATAGTTTTGTGTAATAGGGAGTACGATACTTTGTTCAAAATCTCTATTTCTTTGCTGTCAGTATCTATGTCAATTTACTAGAAGGACATGGAATAAATAGAATTTTCCGCTCTTTAACGATCACTAATTTCAGAAGTCATCTTATTAAGGATATGTTAAATAAAATAAATTCACATTGCGCATCTTCCTTGGGGCCAAAGTTGGGCGGAATTGCATACACATTATGTAAGTATATAAGTTACACAAATGAAATCCGATGTTATATTTTTCATTTCTTAAAATTAATATATTCAAACTATAACAACAAATAATAACGTATGTGTCACACGGCCATATGACGTACGCATGAATTATGTGATTTTTCTAATATCGCTATCTCATTGGAAAATGCTGCAGTAATCAAATTATTCTGGCCTTTCCTCCTGGATTTTGACAGTACAGGTCGCCAGCTCTTCATGAATGAAATTAGTGGTGCTGCAGCAGCATATATTTTCTCGCATTATTTATAACTTGGCAATTTTCGAAACATCCAGAGAGTTCAAGAGAATTGGATATATAGATAATCAAAAGAAAAAAATGCTTGAAACATAAATGTTGCAGCTAGCTGCAATTGTAGACATTTTTGTTCATAGTTTTCCTGTGACGTAATTATTTTATGTACGTTTTTGCTTTTAGGCAGTTATTTCAAGCAGATGCTTCGTTCTGACACATAGCTTCTTAGTCATTTACATAATACTTATTGTTAGAAACTGAAAAACTTAGGAGACTAGATATAATAGATGCCATGATTTACGATGTGAATGCCGAACTGAGTTAAAGGAACCTAGTAAATTATTCTAGTATAGATCAAATAATTTAGTAACATATAAATATATATTCATACTTACCTGAAACGAGTAATCAAGTTTGTATGATTAATGGGCGAAACGAGGGTCAAAGATTTATGTACAAATACAGAGATTGTAAAAAGAATAATTTGCCGAGTGTAAAATTATTGTGTAGGATTTTTGATTCTCCTTGAGAGCAAAAGTGATGTACAGCACACACGAACGCACAGTAGCTCCATCCGAGAACCATTAGCATTTGCGGATATACGATAATATAATAATGGCAGGCGCAGAAGGGTAGTATTATAAATGCATTTGGGTGAACACTTGCAGCGTGTAGTGCGGTTCTCATTAAAGGGGCGGCGAAGATTTATAGCGTTAGCCATTGGAATGAAATATACCGCACGGTGTAGTTTAAGGAAAGTTCTCCATACGTTTCTCATTAATGGGCGAGGAATCTGATTTGCATTCGCCCCTCGGTGGGATTAACTAAACGGCCTGGCGGCATTTTTCTTCCTTTCATGGCGGCGCTCTTCATATTTCACGCCCAGCCGCTGCGCGGCCGTACCTCCCCTCCCTTCCCCGCTCCCCCC